TACCCCCAGGCTACGACTTCCCGGCGGTGCTGCGCTGGTTCGCGGAGCGCGTGGACCTCATCATCCTGCTCTTCGACGCGCACAAGCTGGAGATCTCGGACGAGTTCTCGGAGGCCATCGGCGCCCTCCGGGGCCACGAGGACAAGATCCGCGTGGTGCTCAACAAGGCGGACATGGTGGAGACCCAGCAGCTGATGCGCGTCTACGGGGCGCTCATGTGGGCGCTGGGCAAGGTGGTGGGCACGCCCGAGGTGCTGCGCGTCTACATCGGCTCCTTCTGGTCCCAGCCCCTCCTGGTGCCCGACAACCGGCGCCTCTTCGAGTTGGAGGAGCAGGATCTGTTCCGGGACATCCAGGGCCTGCCGCGCCACGCCGCCCTGCGCAAGCTCAACGACCTGGTGAAGAGGGCCCGGCTGGTGCGGGTGAGCCGCGCTGCGGGGGGGGACTGTGGGGGGAGCGGTGGCCGGAGGCGGGGACGGCCCTGGTCCCGCCTCCCCGTCCGGTCCGCTTAGCTGCCAGTCGCCGACTTCTCGGCTCTCCGATTGGTTAGTTCTCTGGTCTAACAGATTCCTCCAGGCTGGGTCATTGTGGCACAAGGTGGCGGCGGCGTGGCCCTCCCCCCGCACCCCCTAGTGGGCCACAGCCTCTCCACCCACCTCCACGCTGCTTTTCCTCTCCGCCCTCCTCTTGCGCTCCCTTCCCGTCATTCGTTGCACTTCACGCGGTCCTCCTGGCTCTGACCTCAGGGCCTTTGCACCTACCGTTCCCGCTTCCTGGAAAGCTCCCCACTCCTCGCCCCTCTCCTACCTGGCTGTCCGCTTGGCGCACTCCTCACCTCCAACGAGACTTTGCTTAACGTGCTCAGGAAAGCTGCCTTGCCCGCCCTCCGTTTTTAGAACTCTCCCGCCCTCGTCTTGCTTGAAGCCTTGCTGTAGTTTTCTTCGCGGCGGTCATGACTGCCTTGCGTTCTGCGTACTTTGGAGTTTCTGGGTTCACTGCCTGCCTCCGCCTGCATTTAAGCCCCACAGAATCAGAGATGTCTGAATTTGTTCACCGCCGTGTCCCCGGCGCCTGGAACAGAGTTGGTGCTCAGTCAATACTTACTGAACAGAGGGCGTTTGAACAACTCTTCTTCAACCACACCCCCCTGTGCCTGGCCCTGTGTTGGGCGGTACTGAGGATCCGAAGCAGTTCAGGGGAGGAGACAGCCCCAGCCCCAGACAGTGATGACGCAGCGTGCACAGGGCTACCCGTCCTGGGGAGCTGGGGGGG